CCCCAAAACCCCAAAACCCCAAAACCCCTTATAGAGATATTCTTAAAAAGAAAACAATTATTCAAAATGTAATTATTTTATTTTAGTCATCAAACCTTTATAATTAAGATAATGGTGTCCAAATCTTATAGGTTTTGTATTTAATGGTCAACTACTCAGTTAATATTTATCTTTTGTCTTTTTGCCTTTTAATAGTGTAAGAAAATTTATTTTATCTAAAATTTTTAATGCAGGCTCAGGTCAAGAATGAGAATCTTCTCGTCCATAAGCATTAATTGCAAACTAAAATATTGGCATTCAAGAATAAAATTATGATCAATAGATAGCATTCTTGTTCTTAGTTTACGATAAAGTTAATAATCCTGAAATTTGGGAAATATTTTTCAAAAATGCAGATGCAAATAAGTATTCTGTATATTTTCATTCAAAAAATGAAAATGTTAACTAGTTAAACTTTAAAAGTGAAAATCAGCACTAACGCATATAAAACATTCCTACTGAATGGGGAGATATAGGTATATGGTTTGTTATGAATTCATTATTAAACAACTCATTTTCTGAACTTAGAAACTAGAAATTTGTTTTTCTTAGCTAATCTTGCATCCCTATATATTCATTTAATGAACTATATGAAAAGCTTATTGGACAGGAGAATTCCATTATAGAAATTTCTAATAAAAATTAAATCTTTCCTCTATACAGATATCTGATGAGATATGCATAGAAAGACTAGATAATTAAGCACAGTTAATGGATGATTTTAAACAGAATTCACACAGCTATGCTTATTAATGAGTATGAAAATGCTAAAAGATTTTTATTAGATGAGATTGGAAATAAAACTTAGAGCTATTATATATAGGATGAAGCTGTTTTCGGCACTATGTTATTTAAACTTGGTTAGGAAAACATGATAACTAATCAATGTGTCACATTTACAAAATGGGATATAAAAAATTTAAACTCGCCCGTTCAATTTGAACTTGTTGATGTGAGTTTATTAGAAACTGCGAGGGAAAGAGGTTGCTTGTTCTTGAGAAAAACAGGACCTGATACTGAATTTAAGGTTGATTTCAAATTGATGCTAGCAAATAAAGATAAGTTGTCTTAAGATATCAATATTCTTGAGAAATAATTTAATGAATTATGAGAATAATACCAATTCTTAAATTGCAATTCTTATGATTTTAAACAATCACAAATCATAAATTCTAATTTATAAAAACACTTTGAAAATACTTCCATATTCCTGATTTAAGGGGTTTTGGGGTTTTGGGG